AATTAGTGTCAGAGGTGAGATTTCAACCCAGATCTTCCAGACTTAGCACACTATTCTTTCCATTGAGCTAAACAGTCTCTGTATACCTTGCATATAGTAGGTGCTTAATAAATAAATGTTTTGGACAGCGAGGTGGTGCCATAGTGCATAGAACACTGGACCTGGAGTCAGGAAGATTCACCTTCCTGAGTTCAAATCCATCCTCAGGCACTTACTAGCTGTGTGACCTTGGGCCAGTCATTTAACCCTGTTTGCCTCAGTTTCCTCATTTGTAAAACGAGCTGGAGAAGGAAATGGCAAACCACTCCAGTATATTTGCCAAGAAAACCCCAAATGGGGTCACCGTGAGTCAGACAGGACTGAAAACAACTGAACAACAACAAAAACCTTTTTTAAAATGGTGGTGCCCTTGTCAGAAATAGGAAAGCCCAGAAGAGGGGTGCCCTTGGGAGGAAAGACAATGAACTTGGTTTTGGAAATGTTTGTATTTGAGATGCCTATACAAGCAGAGAGAGGGAGGGTGATTGAAGGGACAAATTCCTGGAGGAGACAGGATTAAGGAACAAGTAGAGAGATTCTAGCCTTATCATTCCACCAGCACTTCCAGTGGCCTTTTCTCCATCCTCATTCTCCTTGACCTCTCTGCAGCCTCTGACACAGTTGATCACTCTTTCTTCCTTAATACTCTCTTCTCTCTAGGTTTTTAGGATACTGCTCTCCACTGGTTCTCCTCCTTCCTCTCTGATCTCTCCTTCTCTGTCTCCTTTGCTGGATCCTCATCCAGATTACACCCTCTAGTCATTGGTGTCCCTCCTGGTTCTGTCTTGAGCCCTCCTCTCTTCTCCCACTATACTACTTCCCTTGGTGATCTCATCAGCTCCTACAGAGCTCTCAAAACCACCCTTCCTGTTCCAAACTCCCCGGTGACCTCCAATCTCAAATATCCAACTGCCTTTCAAACATCTCCAACTGGATGTCCAGTAGACATCTCAAACTCAGCAATTCCAAAACAGAACTCATTAGCTTTCTCCCTAAATCCTCACCCCTCCTACTTACCTTATTGGCTGTAGAGGGAGTCAACATCTGCCCAGTTCCTCAGGCTCAAAACGTAGGAGTCGGGCTGGGCTCCTCACTATCTCTCATCCCCCTTATCTAACCTGTTGCCGAGGCGTATTCTCTCCAGGTCTCTCTCATGAATGTCCCCTCCTCTCCTCTGACATTGCCACCACTCTAGCACAGACACTCATCACGTCACCTCCTGGACTATTGCAATAGCTACAGGCAGGTCTGCCTGCTGTAGGTCCCTCCCCACGTCAATCAAATCTCCATTCACCCGCCAATAATAATCTGGTCATAGCAGCCCTCCCTCCCTACCCAATAAACTTCAGTGGCTCACCATTGCCTCCAAGATCAAATACAAAATGCTCTGTTTGGCATTCAAAGCCCTACCTAACCAACTCCTCCCTCCTCCCACACACACCTTTCTAGTCTTCTTAACACCTTGTTCTGCCACAAGTATTCTCAGCTCCTGTGACATTTGTTCATTCCATCACCAAGACACTCCATTTCTGGGCATTCTCTCCAGCTGCTACCCATGCCTAGAACATTCTCCCTTCTCCACTGGCTTCCTTTAAGTCCCAAGTAAAATCCATTTTTTTCTTTTTTCTTTTTTGGCTAGGCAATGGGGTTAAGTGACTTGCCCAGGGTCACACAGCTAGTAAGTGTCAAGTGTCTGAGGTCTCATTTGAACTCAGGTCCTCCTGAATCCAGGGCTGGTACTCTATCCACTGGGCCACCTAGCTGCCCTAAAATCCATCTTTTAAGGAAAGCCTTCCCTAACCCTTTTTAATTCTAATGCCTTCTCTCTGTTAGTTATTTCCTACTTATTCTGTATATAGTGTACTTTTTAAAATATCTGTTTTATGTTGTCTCCCCACAAGGACTATTTTTTCCCTTCCCAAGTCCCTCTTTTCCTCTTTATTAATTACTCCCCTATTTATCCTGTACATAGAGTACTTGTATATATTTGTTTGCTGTGGCCTCCCCCATCCAATAGATTATGAGCTCTGTTTGCCTCTTTTTGCATCCCCTGTGATCAGCACAGAGCCTGGCACACAGAAGGTGCTTAACAAATGTTGATTGACTGATTGGTGTTTTCCAGAAGAAGTCTTATCTCTGAGACCAGATCAAGGACAGAGTAAATAGATGGCCTGTTGGGTTGACTTGAAGTATGGAATTGGGGAGGAGAGGCAGCTCACAACGGATGAAGTAACACACTTTTATTTTCATCCTCTCATTTTTGTTTCCGTATTGTATTCTTGTCTCTTGAAAAAAATAAGTTAGTTGATGAATTTCCTGCACAAATACAGAGGTCCCTTTAATTCAGTTCGATTCAGCAAATAAGTGCCTACTCTGCGCCAGCCATGGTCTTTGGACGGCTGTTCCTCTTCCTCCACATCAGAATTATTTCTATTTTTGGTTCTGAAGCCAGAGAACCTGAGTTCAAATCTTGCCTTTGATGCTTACTACCTATGTGACCTTGGACAAGTCACTTAACCTTCATGAGCCTCAGTAAAATGGGCGTGGGTGAACCAGATGACCTCTGGATCTAAAGCTATGCTCCTATCATCTTATGAACCTCCAATCCCACCCCGCCCCCAGCTAGTTTCCCTTATATGATTTCGGGCCATGAGATCCAAGCCGCCCTTTCTGTGAACCCTTTGAGATCTGACTAATGCCTGGATTTCCTCTCTTCTGTCACAAATTTGGAAATAGAGTGGTCACTTTCCTCAGAAATTCCAGTTCTTCCTTGTTGGTCAATATTAAGTCCAGAACGTAAGTTTCCTTCCTGACTTCCTCCACCATTTGAAAGAACAAGCAGTGAATATCTAAGTGACTCTTAAACATAATAGACTGTTAGAGTGCCAGGAAAACAGGGCCCTAAGGAGAGTGGTTTGCAGTCTTCCCAACTGGGAAAAGAAAGGCTTATGTGTCTGATAATTTTGGAGTCTAATTTTGGTGGTAACCTAGGAGGTTTGCTGAATGAGTAGGTCAGATGACTGACAAATGAGTTTGGCAGAAACTAGAAGGTCCAAAATTGCATAAGAAGGTCCCAAACTGCTCCATACTACAAAAATCCCTCTTTTCTTAACACCAGTGTAGTACTTGGGGTTCCCTTCACATGTGAGTTTCCTGACAGCTACTCCAGATGCAAGGAATAGTGGAGGGCAGCATCCATTCAAAGATCATAGCTACAAGCCTCTGCCAATCTACTTCTTTAATACTCAAACAGAGGAAATATCAATTCAAAGCAAAAGACATTTAATCAATGACTAAAAAGATTTCCTCCTTACATACAGGTGTACACTTTCCTGTGGGTCACCACAAAATCAGGAACACACATCAGGCATACTCTTGTCCAGAGAACATAAAGGTAGGTAACATGTGGCCAGGAAATACCATGATCCTTTTTCTGGTAGCTTTCCTGAAGTGGTGCTGATTTCTTCTAGTAATATAATCGGGCTGAGATAATTTCTGCTGTTGTTACTGATCACAGCTGGCTGTCTCTGCTGAACTGCTGCTACTCTCCAGCTATTTTGTATCCTATTTCTCCCCCTGGGGGAAGGGTCTATCAGCTCTTTTGTATGTTAGCCCCAGGGGCTTTGTTAGCTCTTTTGAGATGAAGACCTCGGCCGACAACACCTAGCCAGATAGTAGCCAACCTGCCCACTAATAGCTAGAGAAGCCTTAGTCACTTAAAGCTGTCTTTTGAACTCAACTCCTCTGTTGCCACTTGAATCGTCCCATTCTAAACTCTACTCTTATTTGACAAAAATCCTTTTAACTGCTGCCCTGGTTGCCCACCTGGGTCCTTGAAAATCATTCCCGGAGTTCTCAGTAAAATTACAAAGAAACTGAGTGGAGCTGTGATAAGGATTCCTCTCAATTCCCATCATGCTCTTGGTCTATCACTTTAGGAAGAAGACAAAAGAAGGACTTAGCGTAGCTGATGACCTTTCATCTACTTCCCCCTAACAGCCAAATCAGTATACATCCTATACCAATATTTTCCCTACAATACAATATGGCAGCAAGTCAGTGAGTTCTGCACTCTCAGAAGATCACAAATATTAGGTGACCCAAAGGGCAATGAAAAGATGGACAGTTGGTGTCGGCAGGCTACATAGCCTATACAATGGCTTATGGGAAAGAGGTGGCATAAAAGATATTATGAGGGACATAAGTAACCACGAAAGAAAGGGGTCTGGCTGGCTGTGAATGTAGCAAATGGCAAAGATAACACACAGAGCTTCAGTATTGTACTGGTGTCCTTGAAATAGCAATCAAACCAGAAGAAGCCTTCTAGCACACTGGGTAGATAAAAGATGTTTCTAAGAATCCCAGTGGAGGAGAGGACATGGAGAGGCTGTTAACAGGCATCTATGGGGGGAAGTAGCTCACACCCGGATTAAATTACAAGATGCCCCCAGAACACTGAATACAGTGCACATCACTGATTGAACCTAAAATTTTACAGAGGTGTCTTATAAATAAATACCTTGTCTGCCTGAAGGCAGGATACTGGATGAGAAGATCTCAGAAGCAGGGTTGGTTTTTGGAGGAAGGAGCAGACACTTAACTCCTCTTGTGACCAGAACAAGTCCTTGTACCTTTCTAAAATGGGAATAATGGTGTTTGTGCTGCTTGCCCCACAAGATTGTTGGGAGGAAGACACTTGGCAAACTGTAACGTGTTATATAGATGTGAGTCGGGGTGGTAGGACTGGCTATTATTATCTCCTAAAGTTCCTTCTGGCTGTAAGATCTCCGAGTCTATGATTATGCCTCACTTCTATCTCCTGTCTTAGGAGGTACGCAGCCTGAGGCACACCTCTGTAGATTTGGGGATGAGGAAGAGATGTTGGGGGAAAGGGGATAGAAGCTGTCAGAAAGACTCATTCTCTCTAACATGCCAGAGGTTAAATGAAGACCAAGAAAACATTTGGGAACTTCACTTTTTATTGCAGAAACTGAAATCTTTTCCAATCCTTGACAACTTGCAAAGGATTGTTCATTTGGATAAGCTAGGATTGCTGGGTGAACTATCAATTGTGGGAGTTTTTCAAGGACCCCAGGTCTGCTATCTCAAGATTAGCACTGGCAGACTGAGAAGTATCTATGTGGGAAAAAAAGAGAAAGAATTTTAAAAAAAAGAGAGAGGCGGCAGATAGGTTTCTAACATGCCCCTGGAGATTGATACTTTTGTTCAGAAAAGTATCCTTCCAAGGCATTTCTCTCATCTTTAGAATTTCACAATGGCTTGGTCTTTATGTCTATCTCTTGTACATAGAACAATAGATAAGAGTTTTAGATTTCTGGATGGGGGATCTGGTTCTGAGTTCCCATTCTGATACTTTTTCTTGGCAAATCACTGAGTTACTTACCCTTTATGAATCTGAAATAAGTGGGAAAAGTCAGGCTCTCAGAACCTTCCTCACAGGGATGTTGGGAGAAAACAACTCTATAAACCCTAAGCCCTCTATAAATGTGAGTCACCATTTCTTTAACATTTCAAGGTTTGTAGAGTGCTTCACAAATATTATCTTATTTGATCTTCATAATAACCCAGAGAGGTAGGTGTTATTATTATCTCCATTTTACAGCTGAAGAAACTGAGGCAGACAGAAGTGTTATGTGACTTGCCTAGAATCACGGGTATAATAACTGTGTGAGTCCAGATTTGAACTCAGTTCTTCCTTAATCCAGGCCTGGTACTCTATCTACTGCACCACCATTTTACAGGTGAAGAAACTAAGACCCAGAAAAATTAAGTGACCTACTCAATATCACCTGGCAGGCTTGGGGGAGAATTAGGACCTAGATTTCAACCAGTAATCTCAGCACTGAGACCCACCCCCTACATGGCTCCCTCTCCCCTATGTGTCCCTCCCTTCATCCTCTCCCTTTTTCACTCCTAACCTCTTCTACCACTTTTCTCCATTCCTCCCATGCTATTCATCCTTTCCCCTTTGTTTTTTCTCCTTACCTGGTCCCAGAGGCCACAATACTAGTGACAGCTCAGGTGTCATCAAAGGGCCATACCCAGGATATGAAAGAGGGAAAGGGCCCCAGGACGTGAATGCAGCAGCAGAAGCAACCCTTGGCCCCTGCTGCCCACCAGGAGTTCTTACCAGCAGCAGGGGAAGAACACAGGTACGTGGTGTTCCTGAGAAAAGACTCAGACATCTTCAGAGCCTGAGCAGGTCGGTGCTGGGGAACCATGTGTCCAGCGCCCTGTGGGTCAGACAGAGTGAGAGGTGAAGAGGCATCCAAGGAGAAGGCAAAGGAGGATCCAAATGGGAATGAGGGTACAAGCTTCCCACATGTGGGCTTGGATTGTGCGAAAGCAGGGTCGTGTGGCCAGTGCGGCAGATGTAACGGGGATGAAACAATGGTAGGTATTAGTCTCTGAAGTCATGCCTAGGGAATGAGAAAAGGCAGGGCTAAGCAATATCCCTTGGCTCGGGCTAAGGCTATCCAGGAGATACCAGTAACCTCGGAGAAAGACAGCAGCCAAAAGTACCTGCCTGCCCAAGGGACCACCCAAACCTTACTACATCTCCTCAATTCCATTCTGCTATGTGCAGCGAAGACAGAGTGCTGGACCTGGGAAACAAGAACACCTAGATCTAAATCATGCTTACTGGCTATGTGACCATGGGTAGGTAGATCATTTCAACTCTCTGAACCTCAGGCAACTTTTGAAGACTTTAAGTTATAGAAAGTTGTAGTTATGGGCAGTTAGGTAGTCAGTGGCTAGAGTGGTTTTAGGTTTCCTGGAAGTTGGGAAGACCTGAATTCAAATAGTAACAAAACCACAGCCGTAGGTACGTGCTATCTCCCCAAGAGGCAAGTCAACAAAGGATGTAAAATGCCTGACAGTAGAGACTGTGTCATATTTTTTTTTATCTTTGTATTCTTGCCACCTAGTGGTGCACTGCACATAGTAGGCCTATCAAATGCTTATTGAATTAATTTTAATTCACCTCCACCAGTGGAGGCTTTTGAGTTCTTTTGACTGAGACCTTCCCTGGGTTTCAGTTCCCCTATTTGCCTTATTGAGAACCTTAAGTACATAACCTGTAGTAAGATTACTTTTCTCAGCTCCCATCCTCCTCAGAAATACTCCTATCTCTATAAGATCATAAGGCATATAACCAGAAGAAACTTTGAAGTTCACCTAGCCCCTGATTCTGTAAGTATAGTCCAGGGACCACTGGGGGTCCTGGAGGTCAAATATATTTTCATAGCAATACTAAGATATTTTAACTTCTATTGCAGTGAAAATCTATAGAATAATCAATTGATAAATACTTATTAAGCACCTATTATGTGTTAGGCACTGAGCTGAACACTAGGGATACAAAAAAGAGGCAAAAGGCAATCTGTTCCCTCAAGGAGCTTACAATCTAATAGGAGAGAAAACATGTAAACAACAAGATAGCTATAACCCACATGCACAAAAGGTCTTTGGTTGGGAATCCTCAATAATTTTTACAAGTGTCCATCATATTATATCCTATATTTTTTAAACTATTTTTATTTCTTAAAGGCAGGTTCAATTCATTGTCTGTGGGGTGGAGAAGATTATCCGTAAATGATTATGATGCCAAAAAAACCAACCAAACACACCACCAAAGGAATGAAAACAACAGCAAAAGAAGGCAAGCAAACATTCCAGGCTCCAGCTTGATCTTTAAAAAAAACAACAACAACAAAATCAAATTGTAAAAAAATTTAGAAGAGTGTAAAAGGGGTCCCGAGACCAAAAAGTTTGAAAACCTCTGATCTAGTCCAATCCCCTCCTTGTACAGAAAGAGAAACTGAGACCCAGAGAGGCTGAGTGATTTGCCCAAAGTCATACAACCAGTAAGAGTGAGAGTCTAAATAAACCCGGAACCTTAGGCTCTAAACCCAGATGCCTCTTCACTCCACTAAGCTGCCTCTGTCCAATCACACCTAGTTCTGATGTTTTCATTAGGGTTCCCTTCAGCCTTTCAGAGCCCTTCAAAAGTTTGGAAAGATTCTCTCCCTTTGAGTACCCCCCAGAAGGACCAAGCATGGGTTCAAGTCCTCCAAGAGCTTTCCCATCCTCCAGTGGTGAGCAGGTGAGAGAGTACCTTACCTTGACAGTGAGGAAGGTGATTTGCTCATATTCCTTGAAGAATCCAGCAACCTGCCTTTTATAGTACCAAGGCTGGTAGAGGGTCATCACCTGTGAGAACCAGGGAAATTGGGACAGCCTGAGCTACTGGTCTATGAACAACAAATTCCATAAGCATTTGCTAAGTACCTACTGTGTGCTGGGCTCCATGCTAGGCTGGAAAGTCATCCTGCCCCCAGCATCCTGCTCACTCCCTCCAAGCCGCCCTTAGGGTGATTGCCCCAGCCCTCTTCTGAGGCTGTGGCTACCAGGGAGGAGAAGTTGGCTCTTAAGCATCCAATTTGAACATCAATATCTAACCACCTTTGCAAAGCTCTTCTCTACATCTCCCTCATACCAGAAGGCAGGATGTCCTTTTGTAACTTCTTTTAGAAATCTGATCTTCCTGGATACAAACATGTTCTAAGCAGGAGGTTCCCACACTTCCTCCAAGCGCTCCACCCTGACCTTACAACTCCACCACCCCCTTTCCTTCTCACCGGCTGGTATAGGGGCTCCACAAACTTCTCTGCTCCCAAGAAGTTGCAAGCCACATCAGTGTCTCCATTGTACACCAACATACGGGTGTTGCTGTGCAGTAACTCCTGGTAGAAGGGAGCCATGTCCATGTACTGCCTCTGGTATTGAGAAGTCACCTGGGTGCTGGAGGGAGGAAGAGGACAAGGAGGAGCAGATAAAAAACTATAGTAGAGGGAGACTGGGAGTCAAATCAAATCAATATCAAATCAAAATCAATAAACATTTATCAACTGCCTACTCCATGCCAGGCAAAGTGCTGGGAATACCAAAAAAAAAAAGAACCAACCAACCAACCAACCAAACAAAAAAAACCGAAGGCAAAAGATACTCCCTGTTTTTAAAGGGCTCTTAATCCAATGGGGGAGGTGACATGAAAACAAATATTTGAAAAGTAAACTATATACAGAATAAATAGAAAACAATTAACAGAGGGAAGGCACTGGAATTAAGAGGGGTTGTGGAAGGCTTCTTGTAGAAGATGAGATTTTAGTTGGGATTTAACAGAAGCCAGGATGCTCAGTAGTTAGAGCAGAGGAGGAAGCATGTCCTAGGCATGGGGAAGACTGAGTGAAAATGACCGGAGTCTAGGGATGTGAGTACAGGGAGGGGAGTAAGGTTCTAAAAGTCTAACCCCACAATGACAGGGATAGCCATTCAAATATATAAGGACAGTTATCATGTCTTTAATCTCTAGGACCCTTCCTTAATTCTCACCCCTCGGGAGCCCAGGAGCCTGAGGCTAAGAGCCCTGAGAATTGTCTTGCCAAATTACTGGCTCTGCCTCTAGCACAGAGCTTGGCACCACCATCCAGCGAAGGAGCTAGATGCCCCAGCTACCGAAGATGAGGAAGAGAAAGTTCTCACCAACCAAATCGTTAGCACTGGCAAGTGGTTCAACACCAGAAATGGATATGGTTTTTATTAGTGGAAGTGACAGTAAAAAAGATTGAATGAATGAGCACTTATTAATCCCTTACTAAATTCTAAGCGCTGGGGATATAAATAGAAAATGGGGATTAAAATGACCATCATCATAAAGACCATGGAACCTTTCCATGTGACTTAAAGCTGATTGTCTTCATTTTTTATTTGTAACCTCCGTGCTTTGCACATATTATGTGCTTAAGAAAAGCTTTTTCATTAAACTCATTCATCCATTCATCTCTCATCAATTTCTTTATCTGACCTCATTAAGTTCTTTCTACTGCAACATAATTTGCCACTTAGCCTTCTCCCCCCAACATACGTATTTGTCTGTGTTGGTAAGTACCAAAGGAAACCCCTAAAGTCCCATTGGCAGCTTTCCCAGCCATGATTGTTGTTTGTCCATCAGTCTCAAAGAGAACCATGGCATCAGGAAGATATCGTTTTCTTCTTGGTCTTTTAAGAGAGACTTCCTGGGGGGCAGCTAGGCGGCACAGTGGATAGAGCACCAGCCCTGAAGTCAGGAGGACCTGAGTTCAAATCCTGTCAGATCAAACACTTGACGCTTACTACCTGTGTGACCCTGAGCAAGTCACTTAACCCTAATTGCCTAGAGAGAGAGAGAGAGAGAGAGAGAGAGAGAGAGAGACTTCCCCATGCACAGAACATCAAAAGACTGCCTCACCTGCAAAGTTCCCAATTGGGGAAGAATACAGGAATGTGGAGGGCCTGCCTCATGTTGTCCTGGTTCAACCACACATACATAGCTGTGGCATTGATGCACCTGGGGACTCCAGGGATGGGGACTCCTGGGGGCTAATGGCAAACAAGGAAAAGGGTAAAAGGTTCAGGAATGATGCACGTCAAAATCCCAGAAATCCCAGGAACTGATTCCTGAGTTGCTCCCTACCCCAAGACTGAACTTTCACAAAATCCTATTTGAGATTTGTTCTAATTCCCCTTTTAGGGTGCCTCTCCCTTTCCCCAACAACATCCAGGTTTCCTCTTTAACCCCTTATCCAAAGACCATCTCTTCCCCCTCCCCCCCATTCGGTGCTCCCATCATAGCTCATGCAGTGCTTCAAGACCTCATTTCATCCTCATAACTCTGTAAGTTAGGTAGTACACATATTATTGTTCATTTTAGAGATAAGAAAATTGAGGCTGTGGGAGGTTACAAGACCAGGGCTCTTTCAACTACACCATGCTGCCCCCATACATCCAGAGTATAACTTCAGACAGGGAGACAAGGCAGAGGCAGTCTCAAAAATGTAATGGATGGTAAGGGAGGGACCGAACATAGGTAACTAGCCATTTTAAAGCCTCAACCATTCCTGAGAGATACTTCCTGGGCTAGGCACTGAGGGAGATTCAAAAGTTAGATGAGACAAGGACAGTTCTAGAATGAATGAATGAATGAATAATCATTTATTAAGTGCTTACTATGTGCCAAACTCTGTTAGGCTCTGGAAATACAAACAGAGAGGCAAGAATGCTTATTCTCAAGGAGCAGACATTGTAAGAGTAGGAGGTTATGACACATAGACAAATAAGTATGATACAAGAATAAAATACATAAAAATGTGTAATAATGGTGTTAAAGAGGGGCAAACACAAAGTTTTTTGTGAGGTCCTAGGAGGGAAAAGTCATTTCTGGCCTGGGAGGATTAGGGAAAGCTTTCTCTGAGAGGTAAAATTGGGCTTTAAAGAATTAGATAGGTTTGGAACACAAAATTTTAAAAACAAAAGTTAAAAAAATTGTTTTCACGTGCAACTGGGAAATAAGATATACAGGAAATGGGGTATAGAAATCTATCCTGCCCTACAGGAAAATTGAAGGGGAAGGGGATAAGAGAAGGCGGGGGGAGAAATAGAAGGGAGGGCAGATTAGGGGAAAGGGTATTCACAATGCATGCTATCTTGGGGTGGGAAGAGGGAGGAGATGGGGAGAAAATTTGGAATTCAAAATCTTGTGGAAGTTAATGTTGAAAACCAAAAATAAATTAATTTAAAAAAAGAATTAGGTAGGAATTTAACATGAGGAGGGGGGAGAGGAAGGCATTTCAGGCAAAAACTTTATAAGGGTGTGAATGTCACCCTTAGTGACTTTTCTCTTGGTCTCGTACAACTTTTAGGTCCAGTCTACTCAGCACACACACCCCTCCCCCATCTCTACTCCTATTAGGGCCAAGGTTTCCTTGGTACAAAATGTTCCCAGTAAACTGCTACATATTTTTTTTTTCATTAGATCAAGGGTTTTTAACCTGGAGTCCATGAAGTTGCCTTTTTAAAAATTTTTATAGTTGTATTTCAAAGTAATTGGTTTCCTTTGAAATTCTAGATTTATGTCATACATTTAAAAACATGATTCTGAGAAGTGCTCTGGAGATTTCACCAGACTGCCAAAGAGATCTACAGCACAAGAAAGGTTAAGAATCCCTCTATTAATTTGATTAGCATCTTGAGATCCACCTGTATACCTCATTTTTTTTTTGGTAAATGTTTTATTTTTTTCCAATTACACATAAGGATAGCTTTCAAATTTCATTTTTGTAAGATTTAGAGTTTCAAATTTTTCTCCTTCCCTCCCTCCCCTTTCTCCTTCCCAAGATGTAAGCAATCTGATATGTTATACATGTGTAATCATGTAAACATATTTCCACATTAGTCACGTTGTGAAAGAAGAAATAGAACAAAAGGGAAAAGCCACATACACACACACACACACACACACACACACACACACACAGAGCATTTTCCATCATGAGTCTTTTGGAATTGTCTTCGATCATTGTATTGCTGAGAAGAGCTAAGTCTATCAAAGTTGATCATCTCTCTGCCACTTTTTATGCCAGTGCCTTCTATAGTGCATTGATCTTAAATGTTTGTTGGAATTAAATTGGAACCCCTCCTTTCCCACTTACTGAATATCAGAGAAGTAACAAGCACTCTCCTCAAATCACATAATATTAGCATTGAAAGAGATTTTAGAGGTCATCCCATCAAACCCTTTCCTTTTACAGATGAGGACAGTGGTGCCCTGAGAAGTTGGGTGAGTTGAGCTCTCAGGGCTCCCAACTCTAAATGTCTCTCTTTCTGTCACACCAAGACGTCTCCCCCTTGTTCAGGGCTGCTGCCCAACAGGACTGGACACCCCAGCCTGATTCTGCCCTCCCACTTACAGAAGGTCCCTCTTCTTGCTTACCGGGACTGCCGCGTTGAACTGGTATTTGCGATAGAGGTTGCTCATGTCAGTGGCATAGCGCTCCTGGTATCCCGTAGTCCCCCAACACGGTGAGTAGAGGTTGTAGATATTGAGGCCCACCCCCTGGATCATTCTGTACGTCTCCAGGATCCGCGGAGAGACCAGGTGGGAGGCACTGCTAAACTGCCCACACTTTCTGGCACGGGTCCCTTCCTTCCTTCCACCACTGCCCACCCTAAACCTAGGCATCCCTTAAGGAAGCCACGTCCCAGGTAAAGGTGGGGTAGGATGGAGTGTAGTGGGACTGGGATTGTCTGGTCCACTCTGCTGAGATTACCCAAGAAGAGGTAACCACGCTCTGCCCCAGCGCTGACCAAGCTAGAATCTACAGAATACCCGAGGCTTTTTTGCCTCTCAAGTTTCAAAAGCTCAAGTTGCCCTCCTAACTCTGGGGTATTTGTACCCGAGTTTCAAACCTGAGCCTCCCAGTCCTGGGGGTCAGGTACCCCTTTCCTTGGGCTTGGAGAGTTCCCCTACCTTCCCCTGTCCCCCAGCCCAGGAGTCCACAGAAAGAGGGGGAGAACTAAGAGCCCAGGTCCCGGCTGGGGCTTAGAAGCATCCCGTGTACCACCCTGGCCCGCCTCCGCAGTCTGCTGGACCTCCCGGCAGGCAAAGATAGGGCTTACGGAATCGAAGCAGGTGTCTTGGGTGCTGTTATAGAAGTTGCAGGCGCCCTCGGAGCAGCAGTAGGTGTTCAAGGTTTTCCAGAGGCTGCGGGCAGAATGCAAGGGGAGTGAAAAGTGGGGGAGGCACGCATGGGCTTCGCGCTCTCGCCCTCCCCCAGAGAGTTTTCAACGAAGCCAATCCGAGCCACCCTCCAGTCCGGAAGGGAATGGCACAGCGCAGGGCCAGTCGCATCCCACCACCTCCTTTCCACAGTTAGGTCACGGGTCTGTTAGACTAACTAATCAATCCTCTAACGAAGTGGCCGCATCATTCGCATTCGCACCGCGTATTTCTACCGGGCTGCAACCAGCAACCATATTTAACATTATTATTCTTTCTAATGGTACGGATTCGAATCCGTGCGACCACTTAAGGGGAGTCCTTATTCACACTAATTCGGACCTGGCTGTACCTCCGTGACCTCGGGCAACTCACTTAACCCCTCTGAGCCTCAGTTTCCTCATCTGTGAAATGAGTGGGATTGGACTCTATAACGTCTAAGGCCCCATTCATTTCTAAAAATGTATGTTCCTAGGGCCCATTAGGCTTGAGCTGGGAGATGAGTGTCATTTTGGGGGTCAGGGCTGTTGGAGAGGTCGTTCATACATTCAATGAATCAATCAGGCAATAAGTATTTGTTAAGCTCTCACTATGTGCCCAGGCACCGTGCTAAAACCTTTGGGACACCCCGTATAGAGGGACCTTTTGTAGGAAGAACAGGAAACAAAGCAGGTGCCATCCACTGGGATATGGCAAAACAAAAATTTGCTATATGAAGGCAAAGGGATATCACTGGGCTGTTAGAAACGATGAATATGGAAAATGCAAGGAGGCTTGGGCAATCTTCAATGAAGTAATAATGCAAAGGGAAAAAAGTCAAACCAGGGAACCGACGGGCACGTGGACCACAGCATTATCAATGACAACAGCAATGATAACACGGACAAAAAAAACAATCAAAACTGAATGTTCCCTGGTTACTGTGACCAAGCTTAGCTCCAAAAAAGAGGTGAGGGAAGGCACCTTCCCTTCTTCCTTTTCAGGGCTGCGAGACCCTGCAGGGGAAACCCGGCAGACATTGTGGTTAGTTTTGAAGAACAGCATTCTTTTCCTCTTTCTTCTTATTCTTTGTTATAAAGGATGGCTCTGATGGAAAGAGATGTAAGGGAATAAACCAATACAGGGGACAGAGCACTGACTGGGCCTGGAGTCAGGAAGACTAAAGTTCACAGTCACCGGCACATGCTTACTAGTTGTTTTACCCCTGGGCATCTTGGTCTCAGTTTCCTCATCTGTAAAATGGGGACAATAATATCATCCCTTCCCAGGGTTGTTGTGAGAATCAAAAGAGAAAATACTTGTCAAACACTTTGCTGACCTATCAGGTCTAAAGCTCTTAGGAAGGAGATCTAAAAACAAGAGACATTACAAAAGGTTTTAATGTCTACACCATGCAAAGCCACTGTGCTGGGGTATACAAAAATAAATGAAACAGCTTCAACCCTATTGGAATTTATAATTCAGTAGGGAAAATAAGGCAGATGTGACTATGATGGTCATGGTAACAATGGCTTATATTTATAGAGGGCTTTATAGCTGGCAAAGTGCCCTATATACATGATCTCCTTGGATCATCATAACAACCCTGAGGGAGAACTCAGGGCAGGATAATCTCCATTTCACAGAAGAGAAAACTGAGTCTCAGAGAAGTTAAGTGGCTTGCCCAAGGCCATACAGATAGTGTCAGCTTAAGAATTCTAGTACAGAACTTCTATCTACCATTCAGTCAATCAATCAACAAGCCTTTACTATTTTTTTTGTTTCTTTTGTTTCTGTTAGGCAATGGAGTTAAGTGACTTGCCCAGGGTCACACAGCTAGTAAGTGTCAAGTGTTTGGTCTGAGGCTGGATTTGAACTCAGGTCCTCCTGACTCCAGGGCTGGTGCTCTACCCATTGCACCACCTAGATGCCCCAACAAGCATTTATTATGCACCTACAGTGTGGCAGGCCCTTCTAGGCTTTAGGAATATAAAGACTTTTTCCACTAGAAGTGGAAATTGCCTTTCGTGGATTTATTGATGTTTGAGATGCAGCCACTTTACCAGTTCAGTCCATCTTGGTCCATTCTCTTACCTTTTAATTGCGGCATCTATTGCCTTTTTACTTCTTTTACAAATAAGCCTGTCTGGCTGTCCCTGCCTTTCTCTCAACCAAGTGATGGAGCTGAGCGGCTGCCTGACATGATGGAAAAAAGAGGCCCCTTCTGACCTTGCTAAAGTTTGTGGGGGAGAAGGGCAGGATGAGGAGGGAGAGACAGATATTCACAGACCTCCCTCTAAGCTTACTTGTCTCCAATGATGCCTTGGTATAACTGAACTCAAGGAGAGTTTCATCATTGAGTTGATGGTTGTTCATTCCATTCCCTGCACCAAAGCCCTGGATGGGAAAGACTGCTTTGTAGGTCCCGGAAGCCCCAGCACAGGCTGCACTGCTTTTCCATCCCAGACCATTTGTGACAGAAAAGCATTAGATGAAGAGTTTAGAAAAAAAAAAGTGGGGAGGGGACTAATTCCTTCATGTAACTTCTGGGGCTGGAAGAGTAGCTGGTACCTGGCTCAGACCTGGACAGAATCGGTACCTATACTTAACTGGTGTGTATGCGGTGTTCAGGAGGACCAGCAACTTTGGTGTGAGGATTTTTGTTGAGTTATTTCAGTCATGACTGACTCCTATTTGGGGTTTTCTTGGCAGAGATACTGGAGTGATTTGCCATTTCCTTTTCCAGCTCATTTTACAGATGAGGAAACAGAAGAAAACAGGGTTAAGCGACTGGCCTAGGGTCACACAGCTAGTAAGTGTCTGAGGCCAAATTTGTATTCAAGTCCTCCTGACTCCAGGGCCAGTGTTCTATCCACTGCACTACCTAGCTACTTGGTGTGAGGGCCTGCCAAGCCCTTTTCAGGGCAACTTATTTACCTTTGGTGTCCACCTGATTCACTCAACTCCTACCTGTGGTTCTAAGAGGCTGTAGTATGTGCAGTTGCCATACCCTAGTAAGCTGTCTCAGCAGATGGGCTAACTAGGTTTAGGGTAACTGATAAGTCTCAAACCTGTCAGTGAGGATGTGGAGCCAAGATGGCGGAGTGCAAGCAGTGACTTGCTTGAGCTCTTCTCCAAACCCCTGCAAATACTCATAAAAAATGGCTCTAAACAAATTCTGAAGCAGCAGAACACACAAAAAGACAGAGTGAAAGAAATTTCCAGCCCAAGACAACCTGGATGATTGAGCAGAAAGGTGTATCATGCCGGGCCGGGAGCACAGCGCAGCTGTGAGTGAATCACAGGCAGCTGTGGAGGTTTCCAGACTCCTCAATCCACGAATGCCAAAGACAATTTAGAAGGTCAGTGGGAAAAGTCTGTTTCTGTCAGTGCCTGAGAAAGGAAGGCGGAGTCTCAGCTCCATTCCCCAAGAGTGTGGTGCTGGCGGGGGGCAGCTGCTTTCCGCGCTTCCGGCCCACAGACTGAGGGGGAATCCAGTGGCTGATCAGAGAGGGATTGCAGGGATCTCTTTGCCAGTGCTGAGGCAGGAATCTCTTGCTTTGCCCGTGTTTGGATCTGGGCCACAGTTCTGGGCCGTGGTGCTGGGGTGAGGAGGAGCGCCGGCGTGGTGGAGCTTGTAGTGATTGTGGAGAGAAGCCCCTCCTCACAGTTACAGGACAGAAAGGAGTACTTTGTAGTCACAGGCCAGGAAAGGAGTAAACACCTCACCTCTTATCATACCACCCTGGAAGAACAGAAAATTTACAGGGCCCTACAAGTATCTCTGAAAACAGCTGTACAAACCCCCCCAAGCTTGGGACAGTACATTCTCCACATTGGAAGCAGATTCATACCTTAACAAAAGTTTAAAACTCAAGTAATTGGCCAGGATCATGAGCAAGCAGGCAAAAAGAGTCAGACTATATTATCTTACTTTGGTGAAAAAAGATCAAAATATACAACCAGAAGAAGACAACAAAGTCAAAGCTCCTACATCCAAAGCCTCCAAGAAAAATATGAATCAGTCCCAGGCCTTGGAAGAGCTCAAAAGGGATTTTGAGAAGCAAGTAAGGGAAGTAGAGGAAAAACTGGGAAGAGAAATGAGATGATGCAAGAAAATCATGAAAAACAAGTCAACAGCTTGCTAAAGGAGACCCAAAAAAATACTGAAGAAAATAACACCTTAGAAAATAGCCTAACCCAAATGGCAAAAGAGGTCCAAAAAGCCAATGAGGAGAAAAATGCCCTAAAAAGCAAAATTGGCCAAATGGAAAAGGAAGTCCAAAAGATTACTGAAGAAAATACTTCCTTAAAAATTAGAATAGAGCAATTGGAAGATAGTGACTTTATGAGAAATCAAGACACAGTAAAACAAATCCAAAAGAATGAAAAATTAAAAAACAATGTGAAATATCTCATTGGAAAAACAACTGACCTGGAAAATAGATCCAGGAGAGAGAATTTAAAAATTATTGGACTATCTGAAAGCCATGATCAAAAAAAGAGCCTAGACATCATCTTTCAAGAAATTATCAAGGAAAACTGCCCTGATATTAGAACCAGAGGGCAAAATAGAAAATTGAAAGAATCCACAGATCTCCTCCTGAAAGAGATCCCCAAAGGAAAACTCCTAGGAATATTGTAGCCAAATTCCAGAGTTCCCAGGTCAAGGAGAAAATATTACAAGCTGCCAGAAGGAAACATTCAAGTACTGTGGAAACACAATCAGGATAACACAAGATTTAGCAGCTTCTACATTAAAGGACCGAGGGCATGGAATATAATATTCCGGAGGGCAAAGGAGATAGGATTACAACCAAGAATCACCTACCCAGCAAAACTGAGTATAATCCTTCAGGGGAAAAATGGTCATTCAGTGAAATAGAGGACTTTCAAGCATTCCTGATGAAAAGACCAGAGCTGAATAGAAAATTTGACTTTCAAATACAGGACTCAAGTGGAACATGAAGAGGTAAACAGGAAAGAGAAATCATAAGAGACTTATTAAGATTGAACTGTTTACATTCCTGCATGCAAAGATGATATTTATAACTCATGAGACCTTTGTCAGTATTAGGGTAGTTGGAGGAAAAAAATTATATGTATGTATATGTAGATAGATAGATAGAGGGCACAGGGTGAGTTGAAGATTAAGGGGTCATATCTGGAGAATAAAATTAAGGGATGAGAGAGGATTATACTGGAAGAAAGAAAGGGAGAGGTAGAATGGGGTAAATTATCTCACAAAAAAAAACAGAAAAGTCTCTTACAGTGGAGGGGAAACGAGGGAAGGTGAGAGGGAATGAGTGAATCTTATTCTCATAGGATTTGGCTTAAGGAGGGAATAACATACACATTCAATTGGGTATGGAAATCTGTCTTACCCTACAGGAAAATAGGGGGAGAAGGGGACAAGAGAACAGGGGGATGATAGAGAGGAGGGCAGATTGGGAAAGGGGTAATCAGAAGTAAATACTTCTGAGGAGGGACAGGGTCAAAAGAAAGAATAGAATAAATGGGAGGGCAGGATAGGATTAAGGGAAATAGAGTTAGTTTTTCACAACATGTCTACTATGGACGTGTTTTGCATAACTGCACATGTACAACCTATATTGAGTTGCTTGCCTTTTCAATGAGGATGGGTGGGAAGGGAGGAAGAAGAAAATTTGAACCTAAAGTTTTAAAAACACATGTTTTAAAAAAAATGTTTTCACATGCTACTGGGAAACAAGAAATATAGGAAATGGGGTACAGAAGTCTGTTCTGCCCTATAGGAAAATAGAAGGGGAAGGGGATAAGAGAAGGGGAGAGAGATAGAAGAGAGGACAGAGTAGGGGAAGGGATATTCAGAATGCTGCCATCTGGGGAGGGGGGAGACGGGGTGAAACTTTGGAACTCAAAAACTTGTGGAAGTGAATGTGGAAAACTAAAAATAAACAAATTTATATTAAAAAAAACCTGTCAGTGAGTTAAGGGGATGTCTACCCCAAAGATGTGAAGCCTTTCCCCAGTAGAATGGATGATGAGAACAATTAGGTCCAACGGCCATGAAGGCTGCTAAAGCAGACACTGGGGAGTGTTTAAAACTTGGGCATCAAAGATGCCAAGGTCACCCACTGTATCCCAGGCCCTCACCGGCATACTGATCTTTGTCCTGCTACTGGACTTTGATGCCTTGGGAAGAAAGAATAAAGGTGATGATTTAGTGCGGCAGTGCCTCGCTTAGATCCAGTTCACGCGCAAGTCGAGATGTTATCCTCGATGTCACTGATCCTCTTCAATGACGAAGGACAAACAACGCCTGTACCTACCTTGAAGTTGATGGAGGCTGGACCATTAACAGTTTGAGCACTGAGAGAGGGCACGTAGACCTCACCATAGCTCTCTTCAAATACGTAGAAGTCATTGCTGGTAAAGCTGGGAAATTTGGTGAAGAAGCTCTGTAAGGCCTGGTAATGGTCAGCCGCCACCGATAGACCGAAACCAAATAGTCATAGAATCATAGAATGTCAGAGCTGTAAGGGACCTTGGAAGACAGAATGTCGAAACTAAAAAATGTCAAAAACTAAAAGAATGTTAGACCCGGAAAGAAATAGAATGCTAGAGCAAAGAATGACAGATGAAAGGAATCTTAGAAAATAAATTACCAGAACATGGAATGACAGCTGGAAGGGACCTTAGAAGACATAACGTGAGCTCATTGATGTGAACGTTGGAGCTGGAAGGGGCCTAAGAAAACAGAATATTAGAACATGGAGTGACAGGTGGAGGGGACCTTGGAAGATGGGGTGCTAGAAAATGCCAGGTGAAGGGATCTTAGCCTATAGAACCATAGAATGGTAGAGTGGGAAGAGACCTTGAGATCTTCTAATCTAATCCTTTTTCCACTTATGCTGGGGCCATTTTGTTCTTGGATTTAAAGGCACTTGAACTATCCTCCTCTCACCCTCACACACATACAGAGGCCCTGTCCCTTTCCCTCATCTTTACTCACCTGCTGATCATTAATTTTGTAGTTCTGGCTAGAGGAGTAGGAATAGCCCACTCCTGCCGGTGACTCCAGGTACAGCACATTAGCCACTAGATTCCAACTATGGGGATTCATGTAGAGGGAGCCATCGTCATTTGTCTGCGCAGAAACATGGACAGATGGCATCGGCCTGCACAAAGTCACCACTCACTGTTCGAGGTTGGAGGCCAGGACAGAAAGGGAAACCCAACTCTCATTCTCTCTCCAACCCTCCCCCAGGCCTAGGAATTTCCCCATCCTCACCCTGTAAGGGCCATTCTCTGCCAATAAGCCTTCTGTAGAGCTGCAGCCAGGGCCTCCATTCAACCACAGCACCAAAGGGTCAGACTCAGGGTTTCCCTGGGACTCCACAAACCTGTAAGGCCAAGAAGAGAAAAATCCCTCTCCTCTGGTGAGATCGGCAGCTTTTCTAAAGAAGACAGGTTCACAGAGAGGGTTCCCTGTTCCTGAGAATACTGGGGAAGGGAATGGGAACGTGGCAGCTAACCATGAATTTTAGCATGGGTAGGTATATATTAGGAAATGACTTAGCATGCCTTATTTTTTTTTAATCACCTCCAACACCACATTTGGGCTTGGTCTGAGACCTGTGAAGTGGGAAAAGTTCCAGAATCTAGACAGCCCTTGTCTCACTGCTACAGTGATGGGGTTCTTGCCTCCGGGGGTGGGGGGGTTTATAGGGAGTGATTAACTCTTCATCTTTTCCCTCCTTGTCTGTTCCCTTGCACCATGCCCCGCCCCCTCCCTCCTATACTTTGTTGACTAATTGAGAATAGGATCAGGAAGTTTTTCTGTTCTATAGGGAAGGGGGTTGAGTCCTTGAGTTAGGGTCATAAGACTCTAGGATGTACATCTGAAAGGGACTTTCGAGATCATCTTGTCCAATTTCCTCATTCCACATGAGAAACACGAACCCTAGAGAAGTGAAATGAGTTTTCCAAGGTCACCTAGCTGGGAATCTGAGGCTCCAGTGCTCCTTCTGTAAGACTGCAATGTGGTCACTGACCCAGTGAGATCACAAGGAACTTTAACCAGGGCTGACCTTGGAATCTCAGCCTGGAGCAGGATTCTTAACCTAGATTCTTCAAAGGGGTCTGTAGAGAGATTTCTAGGGGTCTGTGAACTTAGGAAAATTAATGACAGATTGACATTCACTAACCTTTGACTTCCTCTGTAAGCCTATGTATTTTATTTTATGCATTTAAAAACATAATTCTGAGCGGCACCTAGGTGGTGCAGTGGATAGAGCACGGGCCCTGAAGTGACCTGAGTTCAAATCCGGCCTCAGACCAGACACTTGACACTTACTAGCTGTGTGACCCTGGGCAAGTCACTTAACCCCAATTGCCTAAAAAAAAAAAAAAAGAAAAAAAACACAAGAACACATGATTCTGAGAAGGGGTCCACAGGCTTCACTAGACTACTCCAGGGGCCCAGGATACAAGAAAGGTTCTATTCTATAAGCTTAGTATCCTGGGTGATAACCGAGGCAGAGACTGGGACCCTGCTCAAGGAGGCTGAGACTCCCATGTTTTGCCCCAGGTACTTATGCTGTCTAGCCTGGGCAGGTCACTAAATCTCTCTGGGCCCATGGAATCATCCCTCTCATGTTGAGGAACTCACCAGTAATGGAAGTATTTGTCAGAACCAGCTTGGAGGTAGCCAGACCACTGCTTGAAGTTGGGCAGATCAGCCAGGCCAGGCAGAGAGGTGATAAGGTCTGGCTCATGCTGGCTGGTGCTGAGGCCCCAGCATAGGCTGGAGAGGGCCAACAGGCTGCACAATCGTTGCATGATGATTGGCTGTGAGGACTGGAGCACCCCAGCAACTTCTCTCACCTTTATAATCTTGGGCTGTTTGCTCCATTGATAGCTACTGATAGACATGATCTGCAGGCCAACTTGGGCTGCTCGCCTGGGTGGATAGGTACGCACCTTAAATACCATCAAGATTTACACAGAGTAGCCTGGTCTTCTGGAGGGGCTAGAGTCATTCTGGGATTCTATGCGGCTTAAGGTCTTGAGGAAAAAGGAGAATCTTCTGGGGGTCCTAAAATCATGGATGTGTTTTAACCTGGAGGGACTTTAGAGATTATGCAATCTAACACTCATTTTTACCAACGTGGAAATTGAGGCATGAGGAGGGGGAGTCAGTTAGTCAAGAAGCATTTATTAAGCACCTACTGTGTGCCAGGCTCTGTACTAAATGCTGGCAATACAAAGAAAGGCAAAAGACGGCCCCTGTTTTCTCAGAGCTCACAGTTTATTGGAGGAGACACCATGCAAATGACTATGTATGTAAAGGATAAATGGGATATAATCTCAAAGAGACTGTGCTAGAATCTGGAAGAAGCTGCTTGCAGAAGGTGAGATTGGAGCTGAGTCTCATAAGGGAACCAGATACCCAGAGATATGTGACCCAAGTAGGCAGTTGTGCATACCTCCAGTGTATCGGCCTCGTCCTTTCCCTTAGAAGCAACTTGCCCAAGGTGATGCCACACCTGACTTGAACCCAGGACTCCTGATTCACAGCCAAGGCCCCATGCTGCCCAAGTTGCTTCAGCACCAAGCCCCAGTGTGCCCCCTCTACGAAACGCAGAGATTGGACTCAGTGATCTCTGCCTGCTTCCTGTTCTGACATTCTATGACTCAAAGGCTTTGTAAGCTAGGGAGCATTATGATCCTGACACTTGACTTAACTTGTGCCTCAGTTTCTCCACCTTTGATTGAGGGTGGATCACAATTGTTGATGATCATAGGCCCAGGACACAGTCTTGAACCAACTCCCTCTTGGTTGTCATCGGCTGAGATAGTTTTAAGTCCCTTGATCTCCCAGGGGATGACAGAGTTGTTTTGCCATTTTGGCAGAGGCCACCTCCCTCCCACTCCTTTGTCAGCAAACATTGGGAGCATCTGTTTCAAGCAGAGTTCCACGGTCAGCACTAAGGGAGGAGCCCAAGGGAACAGAATGTCATTCTTGGGGGACACAGTCTTAGTCCTTGGGCACCCAGCCCAGGCTAATGGGGGAGATAATACAGATACATCTCCAGGACTTCCTGAGGAGAACGTGATTCCTGGGCACGGTTGGCCTGAGGGGTGGAAGGCAGGGAGATGTAATAAGATAAATGTATCTGCCTCATCCATTCCCTCAAAGGCGGGGTCAAGTGACCTCCTACAGGGAAAACACTTAGGAATGGGCAAACATTTTCTTGACTGTAACAAGACCTGGTTCAATCTCTAGTCATCACAAAGGGGTTTTTGTGAAATAGGGAGGTGATGGGTGAGGTCTAGCATCAGTCAGGTGTGTGTTCTGCCTCTCCCAATCCAGAATGGAGCACGCAAGAGAAGATATCTAATGGATAAATCCTTGTGGATTAATTTGAGGAGGAAAAGAGCAATTTTTATCCTTTCTTAGGTTTAGGGAGGAAGAGGGGGCAAAGCATTTATGAAGTTCCTGCTATGTGCTAAGCATTTTACAAATATCTCATTTACTGGGAAATTGTAAAATTTCAGATGGCAGGGATTTGGGCTTACATTTTTCTGTGGCACAGAAACCAGCCTGTGCTTAGGTGTCTGGACTTGGAATCAGGAAGACCTAGGATTGATCAATCTCAACATTTTCTTAGCTGTGTGACCCTGGGCACACTTCACCTGTCTCAGCCTCAGTTTCCTGATCTGTAAAATGAGGGATAATAATAGCATCTCCCTCTCAGGGATATTGTGAAGATGAGAGAATCTGTGTAATAAGTGCTGCAAACCTTCAGGCACTCCATCAGTGCCTAGCTATTATTAGTAGTGTTATTATTCTGTTACAAGAATAATAGGTTATTGAAACACAGACTATAGAATGTTAGAGCTGAGCTGGAAAGAGGCCTTAGATTACAATAGGCTGGTGAAGACAAATGATGCTCTGGCAGTCACTTAGGCCTCCTCCTTTACTGTATAGAAAGGAGGAAACAGAGAGCCCTTGAACTGTCAAAAATTATAAAGGGATATGGTGGCAGAACCAGGGATAAAATGTGCATCTTCTAAGAGTAAACCCATTGTTTCTGTTTGTTTGTTTTGTTTTGTAGGTATTCGGGTTTAAGTGACTTGCCCAGGGTCATGCAGCCAGTAAGTGTCTGAGGTCACATTTGAACTCAGGTCCTCCTGACTCCCAGGCTGGTGCTCTATCCCCTGCTGTGCTTTCTTTTAAGTGGGTCTTGTCTTTTTTTGTGAGCCCTGTCTCTGATGCCTCTCCCCTCTTCTCTCATAGCCTCATACTGAGATTTTAAGATTATTGTCTTTTAAATCCTCTCTAGGTTTCCCTTCTCTCCCCACTGAGCCCCAGCATACACCACAGGGTTCTGCACATATTAAATCAACGATTAACCAGCAAACATGTATTAAGTTGCCCACTGTGTGCTAGGCACTGTCCTAGGTGCTGAGGACACCAAAAAGGGAACCAGGAGAAGCACTGGACCTGTAATTTCACTGGTATAGGGAGCTCCCTCTCCCCACAAAACCATTCCAGCTTTAAAGGAGCTTACATTCTAAAATAAAAGTGACTATAAGAACATGCATTGGAGTCAGGAACACCTGAGTTCAAATCCATCCTCAGACACTTGGTAGCTGTGTGACTTTGAGTAAGTCACTTCACCTTTGTTTGCCTCAGTTTCCTTAACTGGAAAATGAGGATAATAATAGCATCTACCTCACAGGGTTGTTTCGAAGATCAAATGGAATAATAATTGTAAAGTGCTTATCACAGTGTCTGGCACATAGCAGGCACTCTATAAAGGCCAGCTATCATTAAGTATTTGCAGAATAAATAAAAAGAGAATAAATACGTGCAACTACAGACTAGTAGGGTAGCAGTTGGAGGTAATCAGGAAAGTCTTCCTATAGAGCATGGTACCTGAGCTGAGTCTTAAAGGAAGAAAAGTGAGGTAAAGGTGAAGACAAAGTACGTTCCAAGAACAGAGGATGCTTAGCGCAAAGATGTGGAGATGGGAGCTTTTTTCTCTCCTTAATCCTCATGCCTTCCTTCTCTTATTTACTTCCTATTTCTTCTATATATCGCTTGTTTGTACGTATTTATTTGCTTATTGTCTCCCCCATTAGATTGTAAGCTCCCTGAGGGCAGGGACTATCATCTGACTCTTTTTGAATCCCTAGAACTTAGCACCATGCCTGGAACATAGTAGGTGCTTAATAAATGCTTACTGACTGCCTGAAATGGAGTATGACATACAAGGAAAAGAGAGAAAGCTTCTTTGAGGATTGCTATATCCATGATGGCCCATGGGTCATTTATTCCATTACGTGAGAAACTTGAATTTACTCCCCTTAGAGTTCCCAGAACTTGGTAACTTGGTCCCTGGAGGAACTGCTGACCTCTCACATCCTCGGCCAATATCTTTGTAGGAGATAAGGAAAAATCAATATTTGTGGTGTTAACAGGATTTTTTCCTCTCCTCAAGGACAAATTAAGGTTACAATGCAGAGTGGTTCCACCAAGGTTGCTCCATCCTCAAAAACCCAGGGCTGTTTTTTTGGTCTGGGGGCAGAGACGTTGTCCAATATACTTTCATCAGTCAAGAGAGAGAAGCCAACAGCAGCAGGAAACCATACTAGTTTGAGGGTGGGAAGTCAAACTGAACAGGTTGGTGATTCTCCTTGCCCAACAGCAGGGAGGAGAAACCTGGCTGGCTCAGAAGCCCACACCCTGCTTTGTGAAGGAAAGGGAGGGCAAGGACAACTCCCTCTCCTTCTGCTCCTCCTTTGCTCAAAGATTCTACTTGCTTCCCCATTCCATTGCCAATAACCTTATTCTCCTTTCTGATTTTCAGTGGTCTTCTCAAGCCCTATGATGAAGGCACTGTTTGCAATTCTTAGTGAAGAGTCCCTTCTGACTTATGGGAATTAACAGCCAAAGCCAGAGAGAATTACAGAATCTCACAGTTGGGAGGTCATCTAGTTCATACCTGAATAGGAATCCCTTCTTCATCATTCCTAAAAAGGGATGATCAAATTTTTTCTCAGAGTCCTTCAGTGGGGAAGAACCTGCTAATCATGTCACTTTGGGAGAAGCTCTAATTGTTAGGAAGTTTTCCCTTCTATTCACCTAAATCTGCTCATCCATCTTTAAGTCAACAGGCATTAATTATTAAGTGGCTCTCTGTAGTTTCCATTAATTACTCTTCCTAAATCCTGGTGCTTAGAACTACTCAGAAAATTTCACAAGTTTTCTGATGAGGGAAGAAGAACCAGGAGACTTTTATCTACCTCGCCTGCTCTAGACTCATCATTCTTAAAGTTGCCTGAGCTTGTATTCATGACTAGGCTGCCATGTCACACTGTTGCCCCATACCCAGCCTGCAGTCCAGTTCTTTGTAAATAAAAACAATTCAATTCTTGGAAACAACTCTTGGTCCTTTTATCTTGTTTCTCATTATATTCAGTCAAGGGGAAAAGGGAGGAATTTAAATGAAGACAAACTGGATTACTAGATGTTCTCTGAACTTGGCATTCCCACTTCTATCTCCTTGGTACAGGCTGTCCCTGGTGCTTGGAATTTACTCCCTTCTCACCTCCACCTCTTAGAATTCTTAGTTTAGGGTTAGAATCAGGGCTCAGTTCAGATGCTGTATCTTCTATAAAGCCTTTTCTAATCATCTTACAGAGATTGCTATTGCTTTCTTCATCTTCAAATGACTTAGTGTTTATGTAGTTGTATTCCACTAGAATGTGAGCTCTTTGAGAGCAGGGACTAGTTTCATTGTACCTCCAGTACTGCGTACATAGTAGGTTCT